GTTTCGTGGGTAAAAACCTCACTTCTTCAGATGCATGAAGAAGTGAGGTTTTTACCCATGAAAGCTTATGCCCAAATAAATCTGTTAGTCTTTAAGGTGCCACCAGACTCCTTGTTGTTATCGTAGCTGGTGACAGAGCATTTGTTAATTTTTGTTCTTTGTTGAATGCCTGGATGCTAAATGTTAAGGCAATAGGATCAGAGCTCTGTAAAACAAAATCTAAGACCGGGGTACACAGGCATTTATTTGATTTGAAGGCCAGATTTGATCATTTATACAGGATCTTGAAATATTTTACATGAAAAGGGCTACATATGTTTTATACGATACATACTACCAGGACTTAACTGTTTATTAGCAAGGAAACTGGAAGGCATGAACAGATTAAGTCACTATTTTATTATGAATCTGCAAAATACTGTACAAGTATTTTGAAATTCTTAAAGTAGCTGATGTTTCTTCATTGAGATCTGCTCCATACAAAGTATTAAGATTAATAAATAACAAAAATTTTTCCTGTTTCTGCAAAACCTTGTTTCACAACTCTGGCAATTTAAAGAGTGAATTCAGGGAATTAAATATTAAGGTCTTGCACACATGCACTCACTGGCATCTCTGTGTAAATGTCTTTGTTTTTAGTAGATGGAGCACCAGAATAGGAATCGAGACGTGTTCTAGAATGATATTATTACTGGAACTTATCAACAAGTCTCTCCCCAGTCAGATGTTGGGGTATCTTTTAAGTCATATCCCCCCACTTCTTCCCTACTCTTATTCCATCTCCTCTGGAACTGAATACATTGCCTCTCTAGCACACCTAATCTCTCCCCACCCCACCCCCCAATGTAGAGAATGAGAGTTTGGAGCTGGCAGTCACTTATATTTGTTATTTAGTTAATAGTGGCATAGAAATAACAAATAAAAATAGATATTTATTAAAAATAAATCATGATAGACAGACATGGGATTAAGAAACAACAAAGATTAAGAGTTAGCAATGGGGTTCAATCACTTCAAAATCATTTTAAAATGGTCTTGGATTGTAACTTCTGTCTTTTTCCCATGCCTGTCAAACACCTAACACCATTTGGATGCTATATTAATAATAATGATTTAATTATCATACTGTTGGCCCTTAAAGAGGAATGATGTTCAGTTTCTTTCACCCAGCATTTTGATTTGAATGAGCCTCTTCGAGTTGAAAAGCTCCCTGCATCATTGTCCTAACAGGCTGTTTTAATTTAATTCTTTTCCATTTTTTTTTCTCCAGCACTCCAGTTCACGCCTGAGTTACCAAAGCAACATTCAGGGATCTTCTCAGTCCCAGAGTACAATGGGCTATTCCACATCATCTCAACAGAGCTCTCAGTATCATCAGTCTCATCAGTCTCATAGGTACTGAGACCTAATAGACTGCGCTTAGAAAGGAATAGACTAAAAGTCAAAAGACTCCAGCAATATGAAGTTCCTAACAATGAGAAGAACCAAAAATGCAAACTGTGATACAGATTTAAAATTCACAATTATAAAAGGAAAACTTTATTTACTGAAGATTTTTTTTTCAATGACTCTGTTCCTTCTTTATTGCCATAAAGGAGATTCTTGTGAAGTGCCCCCCGCCCTCCCGCGCGCTTCCCTCGCATGTGTTCCATTGTGGTAACTCTAATGAAACCGTCTGATCTGAACCCAGCACTTAACTTCTTTAACCTATGGAATTTTTGAAGGATTCCTGGTGCACCTTTCTCATGCTGTAGTGATCGCCATAAATCTATCTTTTCAAATCTCTTTAATGGGATTTTAAAGTTTTAAAATCTTGAACTCCCAGGCTTTCAAGCTTGTATATAGTTAGTTTTATACTAGGCAAACCAGTTTAGCTATACAGGTATAATGCACCTTTTAAAAGCACTATGTTTTTTTCACAGGATATTACTGTTTTCCTCATGGATGTCAAGAACAGCAAATTTTACTGTTCCAGAGTATTTTACTATTCTGTTTGTATTAGTCTAGTTTTCAGGCGATGTCTTAGGGGAGAAAAAAAAACAAAAAAACCCAACCCAAGTCTCTGCAGCAGCTAATGTGCTTCATGGTACTGGACTGTACACCAAACAGAAGATTGTGAATGTTTCCTAAATCTTTCATATTGAATCCCATACATATTATGACCATGTTCTGAGTAGTGCTGAATTAAGCATTATTTTAAATTAAAGCATGATACTCACATGAAAAGGGGATGCTTTTGGAGCGCCATTGGAACAGAGGAATGGAATGTAACAGAACGTCTTCTCTGGCTGGGCACGCAAAATAGCCAGGAAAATATATTTAGTGCCCTATGATCTCAGTAGAAGAGAGAATGTGGTTGAGGACTTATACTAGTCCTTGCTTAAAAAAACAAAACAAAACAAAAAACCACTTCTTTAATGTGTGTGGGAGCTCTATATAATCTCCCTTTGTCAGTTTCCCTGAATCAATTATCTAAATATAAGACAACAAAAATGTAAAGGATTATAAAATAAAAAACAAATAATTGTCCATTTTTATATAAGATCATCAAATTTAAGATAACTTATTGTATGTTTTGAAGAGCATGTTGAAAATTGTCTTCGTTTTTCATGTTTAATACGCAAATTCTTTATTCTTCACATTGCTGTGATTAATCCAGATTGGTTGCACTGAAATGTTTCTTTTTCCTAAGAGCAAACACATTGTGATTGTGCCTAAGGACCATAAGTGGATGGGTTACTAGCAGTCTATCCCAGGTAAATAGTTAGAGCTCACAAGCATAATCGGAGGATCATTATCCAACTTTCAGAGCCACAGGTATTCAGAGACACATAATGTATAATTTGGAGCAGCTCCATTTTCCTTCTGTGTTTAGAAATAAGGCTGATGAATTTGATTGCACTAAAACTGGAAAGACATTCATGTACTTTAGAATGTTCCTCGCTGTATGAGCAGCACCAGTCTTTTTTAATTGATTGCTGGAGAAGAAGTCAAGAAAGGAGCAAATTATGTTTAAGCAACGCATATTACGGACATTTACACTACACAGTGTGATATCATGTTTAGTTGTGTTCTATCCTGAATCCATGCAAGACATTAGACATAACCACTATACATTCCACACTAAAATTGTGATAGAAACTAGGCAGGTGGTAGATCCTTTGTCTGAGGAGAATGTTTTTTCGTCCCAATTAGAGTAATAAGTATTTCCATTGAGAGTGAGCTCCCAGTCACCTTTAATGCTTTTTTTCCCTCTCACAAAAATGTTTTGCTTTTATAACCAGTTGGAAACCTGGTTTGGCCACACCAGCTGCCACAAGACTTTGCTCTGTTTGCCGATGACACCAGGCTTCTCTGGAAAGTGACTGAAGAAAGAATGGGCAAGAAGTGATAAAAATGAAATGAAGCAATTTGAAGGAAAATATAAATTATTATTAGGACAAAACCATCTCCTATTGGATACTTTCCATCTTTATTCTTTGTGATACTACATGTCCTGTGCTTCTGCGTAGCTTAGTTGGCAGGAACTGATTTTAATTGTTAGTACATTTTTTTACCTGCTTGCAATGTATCTGGGCTCGAAAGATGCAAGTCCCCACCTCTTAATGATGTCAGTGGGAGTCCCATGTCTATCTGAAGGAGAATTTTGCCCCTGCCCTACAACAACATTATTGGATATTCTTGTGACTGGCTTCCAATTTTCTGGATACCAGGCTCTGGACATGCTGGTCGTTGTCTCCTGTTTTCTTCATATCCCTCTGTCCTCTCAAAACACCTTTGGCTATTGTAACATAAATGTCTAACATTTGTCCCCCTCCCACCTGCTTTTATTCATCATCCAATTATTGATGGTGGCAGGGGGACAAAAATCTGCTTGTAGTTAAGCTGGACTCTTATAGTGCCAACAAAGCTGAATCATAGTGTAGGTTCATCGATGTGTGGAGTGCAAAGATACACAGCATTATAATGTGCTTTAATTCAATGAGCTTCCATCCCGTAGAATGATTGCTAGCACCATTGTCTAAACTGAATAGATAATTCGGTATTTGCTAGATCTAAATTGCTTGCTGTGCTTTAGCCCCTTGCAGCTTCTGTGCACGTGCAAAGCTGAGCTAACTCCTCCATTGCCTTCAAAATAAAAGTAGAAGGGGGAATAAATAAAAGCAGTGGTTACTGCTTAAAAATGTTTACTGTGCACGTTTGCTCGCTTTCTCTCTCTTTGTCAGTTGGAGTTTGAATATTTGACCTTTTCTGGTGAGCTGTGTGTGAATTTCAGGGTGGATGGGAGCCAAGGTGAGAGAGACTTGTTCAGAGATAATTTCATGAGGAAAAATGCTCTTTGTATTCAGAGGTTAATCATGTAATATGTTATGGGAACCCAGGATCATGTATATTTTTCTACCTGTGCAGTTTTGGTAATTGACACTTATTATTATTCACAGTTTTGACCGTACCCATAACCTCTGTGTGCCCTCAAAAAGGTATTTCACACTGGCAACTAGAAATGGAAAGTGACATCAACTTGATTGTTTTCTCATTCCTGTTCCCTTGGTGAAGCAGTGGACAGTCAAATACCATCCTGCAATGTTTCTCATCCGGTTTTTGGAGAAGACAGGAGAGTGAGGAATGGGATTAGCAGCATAGTCTACATTGGTGAAGTTTATGTAGCACAAACTGCACAATGAAGGAAGAATATTGTGAAAGCTGCGAGTCCTGCACTGTATCTGTGACACTGTATCTTTTGGGGGGAGGGGGAGGGAAGAGCATTCTGAGGGGAGGGTTGGGGGTAGCTTGAAGTATTCAAATATGTCTAATATTTTATATAAACATATTAAAGCTTAGTTCCCCTTTGTAATCTTCAGTAATGGTACTTAAACACCATTAAGCAAAGAATTGTTTTAGGATTAAATAAATGTATTGTACATAAGGCCATATGTAATCTTCTAAAAGTGTCGCCACACAGGAGTGATATGTATTACTATATGAAAAAAATCCTTAATGCACTGTTATCTCCTAAATATTTAGTAGTAAATTAATACTATTTAATTTTTTTAAAAATCTGTCTTGTGTAGACACTAAAAAGTATTACACAAAATGTGGACTGAAGATGTCCTTTTTAACAGCAATTTAAAGAACTTTTTATATATGTAATGTAGTATACTTTTCAAATTGTTCTAGTTTGTATTCTCCCAAGTTTACTATTGGTGGAAGTGTGTCTATTTCTCTTCAGTTATTTTTTTTTTATAATTTCATGCACGTATCCTTCATTTTTGTAGTTTTTATTATAGATTACTGCATATGCTCTTCATGCTGTCACAAAGCTTTGCTGCTTTAGCTGTATGGTGGCCACATACAGCAATAACCATGCTGATAGGTTTGCAAAAACACAAAACAAAATATTTGTTTTTCATTCTAGAGCTAAGAGTTTACTGCTTTTAAGTTCTCCTCATGTCACTCTTGAAATGACTGTTAAAACTGAACTATGAGTTCATTGCATTTATTTTATATTCCTAGTTGTCATGAAATTGAATTGACTTTGCTTCAGTGTGAATTTTTTTAATACAAATAATATACATTTGTAATAATAATAATAATAACAATAATAAAAGGTTCAAATCAAAGAAGTGTGCTGGAAAGTTGTGAACATCAGACATTGAGTTACAAAAGAAGCAATGTATCCTGCAGAGTTGCAACCTGTAATTGTATTCAGATGTTTATGATATCATAAACCACACAAAACCGAGCTTGTAAAACCTCCAGTTTGGAATTATAGCCTTTTAAAATACCCAAGAGGGTATTCGTATTTTGTATGTACGGAAATAGAATGAAGCTTTATGGAAAAACAAAACAGGTGGAATGCTTTGTGTACTCTCTCTAAAGTGATTTAGCATGCAGCTTGGATACCACTTATAAAAATATAAAACTACCAACCTGGTGATCTTACATATTTGTCTTCTGAAAAAGCTGTGCATTCGGAGACTAAGCCCCTCCCCCCCCCCCCGCCTTACCTCTTCCTCCTCCCCCCCACATCCCATTTCTAGGCTATCTTTGAATATAATTCTCCCAAGTGTCTAGGGTGACTGCATGTTAGATTGGAGAACATGAGCTGGGGAACTCAGCTCTGTTTTTCAGGTTGATTTTCTGTGCTTTGTTGGCCTGCATATTATAACTCCACGAGTCAGTTTTTCAGAGATGGTTGTTATACTGCGTTTACCATAAACTGCACCCATTTTCTCCATCCCAGCTGTGTGAGAGAGAATGGCTGCCACTCACTTGCTTCTCGACTGACACCAAAAAAGAGGCTTGAATTTCGGCTGTAACTTTAGGACAAGGTAAGAACACGCTGTACCCTTGTCACTACTGCTGGTTTCTAGCAAATAAGGAATTCTGACTGATTCCTCCTCCCTGATGCGTCCAAGGATTAGGTTTAACATGATGCATGCCTGCTATCAAAGAGGTTTCTTTTACTTTGTGTCTGCACTAGTGACTTGCATTTCCAGTGTGTAGTACCTTTCACCTAGAAGGATCCCAAAACATTTTCCAGATGATATTTACAAATTATAGGAATCTCTTCATCAAGCATTCCGAGGGGCTGCAACATGTGTGGTTATGTTTATTCCTCTTGACGAGAGCAGGGCTGGTTAGCTGGTGGAAGTAGACATAGTTATATAAAGGATTCTCTGCCTACATTACTCCACTTACTATGTTTTTTTCCTCTTCTGCTTGTACTTGGTGGAGTGCAGCAGCAGCCTTTCGAAAACCCTGGCACATTGGAATGTACAGCATTGTCTCAGAGATCATTCATCATTCCCAGCAGTGTGCTTAAGTTGGATGCCAGCCTTTGAGGTCTGGCATCCTGTGTCAAAGAGCTAAGTTTATGACTAATGATCTAAAGAAGAATCAGCCCTGCAGCATCCAGCCATTTATGGGTAAGGGCTGCAAAGACCGTGTTTAAAGCTGAGACAAGCTTATGCTAAGAGTTAGCACCAACGCAGGGGAGAGGCAACAAAAAGTGTCTTAAAGAGAGAATATTTGTTGCTGATTGCGAGATACACGTTCTGAACATTCTGAACAGAAAATCAGTGAAACTTTAAGGGCAATAAATTGTTACTTCAGGTGGTTTTACAAATATTGATGGAGGGAGTGTGGAAGGCAGTGTTGTCTGGAGGAATGAGCACAGACTTAGGAGTCAGGGTCCTGCATTCACACTTTGGCTCTATTACTGATTCCGTGTGGCCTTAAAGTCACTTCTCCTTTCTGTCTGTTTCCTCATTTATAAAATGGGGATAATACTTAGGTATCTCACTCACAGTAGTGGTTTGAGGATTAGTTAGTTTTTGTATAGTACTTTGAAAATGTACAGCACTACAGAAATGCTAGGTATGATAAACTTAGAAGTTTAGCATTGTTCCAGAGGCCAACAAAGGATAACGTTGACCTGAAATACTATTTAACAGACATTGGTTTTTCATGCAAGTGAACTTCATGCCCTTCTTTTCCAACACAGAGCAATGTATGGTCAGCAAATGTGATTTGGTTTTGCATTTTTTTAATATTCAGGAAAAAAAAATTATTGTTGCATCAAGACACTGCAGGGATTGATTTTTTTCATTAATGAATTAAATATTTATTAGTGCAACCATTATAGTGATTGAAACAACTAATGTTGTTGTGAAGGATGTGAGTAATGGGACTTTAGATACAATCAGCCTGTAAAATACTGTGGTATTCCCAGAATTCTTATGCAACAATAATATCCACAGTAAATGTTTTTAAAAGTCATAATCCCTCATTCTGGCAACATTTAAAATCTGACGGTTATTGCCAGCATACATAATATTTTTCTTTTAGGTAATTGTATGAAAACACTATCACAGGATCAGTGTCTCTAGCTTTGAAAATAAACGTCCTGGCATGCATGTGCAGTATTTGTGAGAAAGCATTATCTGTGAGACTGAGTTCTTTGGAGTCCCTTAAATAGGATGAAGAATTTGGAAGAAAGTGTAAATTGCATACTTTTATTATGTGCCTTCAACATGTGGCTAAAAATGTTGTCTTCTCTTGTCTGTGAATGAAATAAGTCAGCAAAGCATTCCCTGGGCTATGTTGCCTTTAGATGCCATTCCATATCAATGCATTTTAGATGCCAATAAAACAAAATGAGTCAAATTGATGCCTGAAATCAATTGTTAAACAAGGGATCTATTTGCCCCAGTAACGTCACTGCTAAATTGGAGTCATGTTCTGTGGATGTAAATCTAAACTAGCAGTGAAAGTTACTAACACAAATTAGCTAAGGTCTCTTTTCTCATTTTTAAATGTGATTTTTGAATCAATGGCTTAAAAAAACCCCTCAGATTTCTTCTGTTGGAAGACACAGAACCTATGATATGAAATGTAGTCATAATGATATGTTCTATACTGTCTCCATCCCACAAGAAACTGAGAATACAAGCAGCGTAGGTAATATATACATGCAGGGGCCAGGACAATGGGGCCCCAATCTTGATTGAGGCACTCTGTGTGATACGGTAATGGAAATAACCAATGTCATCAGACTTTTCCAACCTAAGTTTAAAAAAAACCAACCCAAAATCTAGGTCACTTTGCATAAAGCAACAGTTCAACACTGAGAGGATGCAAACAATGCTGTAAAGTAGCCTCATTAATTAACCTGAAAATTACTTCGGCGGGGGAACTTTCAAACTGACAGAACCATTACAAATGTAAACCTTTAGAAGGAAAAGAATGTGGAAAAGTCAGGAAGGACACATGAGATGTCTAAAATTAGTGTTTAGTTGATGACTATTTCTATGCAATCTGTGGTAACCCCTTTATGCTAGGCAGGTAGAAGTCAAAAGACTTTTGCTTTTAGACTCCAGGATTCCTCCAGCAGGCAAAGCCCAGTGTAACATTTCACTGTGGTTTGCTCATTCAAAATATCTAAGGATATCTCCTAAATCTCCCTGTGTAGTATAGCTGATGGGTTCTTACCAATACAGTTTACCACATTTCTGCTGAAGAGACACCTACAAAAAAATTGTAATCAAGTTTCCTAGTTATTCTGCTTATTCATACATCCAAATGTGTGTGTGTTAAGACATGGTCTGTTAGCCAAAAATGTGATTGAATAGGATACCCTGAACAGCCAAAATAACTAAGTATAGCAACTCTCAACATTCATATTTCAGCAAGGTTTCAGATATACACAGTGTTTCCCAGCTTAGGATGCTCAAGGCCAGACATTCTCAAATGAGTAACAGGAGAACTTCTTTCATCTATATACATGACCAGCTTCCATTTCTACAGTTACAAGAGGGTAAATCCATTATCTAAGCTAGGACTACTGTGCTGTGAGGCAAAACCACTCAGCATCCCACAACGCTGGGTGATCAGTATTACATATAAATCACAGGCTCCCAAGCTTCCATTTTATAATGGATGTTCACAAGCTGTTTTGGAAATGAAGCTGCAAACTACGTAACAGTTCTTTCAACAGAGACTAGATGGCTCAAGGGGTGGCATACTCAGACATTCACCTCTGAATTGCCACCTTAATGTCACCCTATGCCAGCAGCAACTGCAAATTGTTACCATCTGATGGCTTTTTGATGGCCTGTAAGAACTGAGTGTGATGGGCAAAGTGAAGTCGAGTTCCTAATGGGCAGTTGTCCACATTACAGAAGCCAACTGACACGAACTGGCACCCTTACTGGAAGTCTCAGGAGAGAGGCCAATACTGCAGAGTTATGAAAACTCTCCAGGGATCAAGTATTTGAGCTGGTCGAGGGAGCTTCATTTGACATTGTGTTGTACGTATTGTATATATTTAGATAAAAGACTTCCGTTTTCAGGAGCTAATCTCATACATTTCAAGAGTGCTTAATTCACAGTTCTACAGAATGTATTAATTGAACAAGTTTAAAGTCTAATAAAAATTCCAATCATAGCTAAAGCTCATACAACCTGCTAAGCACATAAAACATCCAGAACACCAGAACATGCACCTCTAGTTACAAATGCAACCTCAGCAAGCGATCGAGTTTTTGGGTGGCAATTCATTTTTAACTGTAAGAAAGTGAGGACTTAAAGCTGAAGCCCTTACAAGCACATCTTCCCACCTGACAGGGCTGTGTGTGCAGAAGTGGGTCTGATGTATTTTCTCCACCACATCGTGTATATAAATGTTTTTGGTGTAGTATTTACATGGAAATATGTTAACCTGTTTTCTTGTCTGTTCCATGGAAAGACTGGTCCGTGATCATGACAGTTCACCAGGTTCAGGTGGAGTTGGAGGGAGGGTTTTGCAACTCAGTTGCTTCTCCCATCTCAGCTGCCATTAACATGACCAGCTTTATCCAAAAATCAGGTGGTAGAATGACAGGCACTAATTTTGAGTGGTCACTGAGTACAGTAAGTGGCTGAATGCTCCATATTGTGGTTGCAGTTCCTGCTTTGATCAATTCTTCTGAAGCGTCTGTGATACTCTGTCAAAAGTATCATTCGTTCCTTCTCTTTAAACCCTGTGCTGCCTGCTGCGTGACCTGGATCGAAACGTACCTGAGTCAGATCTCCAGGGTGTGCCTGACTTGTTCTGGCTAACAGCACCCTCTCAGCTCCATAGGAAAAGACTTACAATGTAAAATGTAAATGCGGGTCCCACTAACATTTTCTTCCTCTTTACTTTAGACAACTCTGAAATGTCTGCCTGAGATGAGACCCATTTTCCAAAGTCCCCGGAATCCTGATGTTCTCAGGAAGTAGCCTAACAATGCTGATATTATGTTTTATGGGGAGTTCTGACTCAAATTTTAGAGCTGGTTTGTCATGCAAACATATGTGCCCCTAAGACATCCAATGACTGGAAAGAACTCATCTATTTTAAGCAATATGTAGTCCTTAATTAACTATTTATCATTCATTAAGACTACATTGGCAGCTGCAAGGAGATAAGAAAATCCCAAGATGATATAGAAGCTGTTTTTTGTGTAGTACCGTAAGTTAAGAACTTCAGTAGGGATAAAGATTCTGATCCTACTTCCATTGAAGTAAATAGCAAAACTCCCATTAACTTCTATGGAAGGAGGATGAGGCCCAAAGTCTATAATGTAAACACAAAATCCTTTGATCAGATTTCACATCAGCCATAAAATGAGAGAAGTTGGTAACAGAAAAGGCTTAGTCCATCTCTCTGCCAATGCAGGGTTATTCCCTACAGGAGGCTTGAGTATTGTGTACACATTTAAAGGGTCTTGGCAATGAGTCTCCACCATTCCCTTAAGAGACTATTCAACTATCTAATAGATCTCACCTGCCAGGAAACTTTCCCTACTGTTCAAGCTACAGGGTCTTTTTCTTTTTTGGATGAAATATGTCCCATCAATGTGCGAGGCTGGCAGAAACCATGATGCCTTGCTTGCAACATGCAAAAGAAAATAAGTTAATGTATCACTAATTTCAAATTGCTGTTGCCCTGATCCATGTTGTGTAACGTGCAGTTTGTGTAAGAGCTCTGTCAGCAAGAAGAGAGAGAAGCGGTCTCGGCACTTCTGCTTTACTGTTATCTGACAGGTCAGGCTAGTCACGTTGCTGGAAAGAAGATGACAGGGATGGTACAGCAGACAAGGAGTCTGATAAATTTTTCTTGCAATGATACAAGAACATCCTGCACTGGGCTCAAAGATGCCAGGCATGGGGGGAACTGCTGCAATCTATTTGCAAAGCAGTGTCCCTGACACCACAATGGATGCCATTTTAAATTATCTTAGCTTCCCTCTGAACAATTGATCGTCTGCAGTGGGTCTAATAACAATATTGGTCTAGTCCCAACTCCCAGCCTAAGGACATGCAACAACTAATTCTGAAAGTGAAAGAAAGGAAATATAACCCCAGACAGGGCCGATGCAAGGGAGTTTCGCGCCCTAGGCGAAACTTTCACCTTGCGCCCCCCCCGCAGCCCTGCATCGGCTCCCCGCCCCCCGCCCTGAGGCGTCCCCCCCCCCCCGCGGCAGCTCCTCCCCGCCCTGAGGCACACCCCTCCCAAAACAGCACCCCCCCTGGGGAGCCGTGCGGCAGCTCCCCACCCCAGCTCACCTCTGCTTCGCCTCCTCCCCGAGCATGCCGCCCCCGCTCTAATTCTCCTCCCAGGCTTGTGGCACCAAACAGCTGATTGGCGCCGCAAGCCTGGGAGGCGGGAGAAGTGGAGCGGCGACCCTGCGCTCAGGGAGGGGGCTTAGGAACGCTGTAAAAAAAAAATTGGGTGCACCGCTTTTGAGCGCCCCCAAATTTTGGCGCCCTAGGCAACTACCTAGTTTGCCTAAATGGTAGCACCGGCCCTGACCCCAGCTATTCTTCCAGCTAGCAACTTATTTAAGTGGAAGAGGGAGGCAATTGTGATCGGTTGGCCAACACCCTTTGGCATATGAACATTTTTATGGGTGTGGGCACAGAAAAAGAGTGAGTTTATTAGCTTTCTGGCACGTTTACCAGCTTCAGTGCTCGTTACTCAGCTAGGGCCTATTCTCTCCCCTCAGGATATCTGACTACATCCCACTGAAGCCCATTTGGAGTTTTGTGTCCTGCAGAGGGAGGATAAGGCCCCTGGAGTTGTTCTTTTGTATTTAATTTATATGATGTTGATTTGTATCTGGCTATTTTTTAAGCATGTATGATTCATTTTTGCATGGGCAGGTGGGAGTGGCTCCATTATTTTCTTTTGAATCACTTCACATTTTTCTGTCACTGGAACATGCTTTAACAACTGTGTGTGGGGAGCCTGGTGGGAACAGGCTGGGTGGCTCTGTCTCAGCTTGTGCTGCTGCTCCAGGGGCACAAGAAATTCTGTTAGGGAGCTCCTCCTGATTTTTTTGAACTGGGTTCTTCAATTATGGCAGCTGGACCATTTCTAGTCTCTCCATGGGACTTGTTTCCTTGGAGAGAGAGTGAACTTCATCCTTTCTGTTCAGGGGATGAGACTTCTGCAGTGGCTGCCCCTGTTGTAGGTCAGAGATGGGGTCCCATACACCTTTCAGGGATATGCTGTCTAAACACTGCTACGCTTGCTTCCAGACACACTCTTTTTATATCAGAATCCAGAGATCCTCCTCTCATCACTAGCACTAGCTGGGACATTTTAGAACAATAAGCCTGTGTAGACAGGCTCCATACTGTCTGCCGAAGATTATTTGGGCATCTGTCGTTGCTTCCTACAGGCTTGGCAAGTTTGGCTTTCACAGACTGCAGAACCAAAGTACAATGTGGGGTTTTGCCCAAATCAAAACCACGCCTCTCTAGCGAGCACATCACACACTTTACAGTGCCCACCAGTGTGTTAGTTGCTTCACAAGTGACAGAAATGTCATCCCTGCCTGAAACAGCTTACAGTCTAATTACACATTTTACAGTTCTGAGTTGTAATAGACAAAATAAGTCCTACAAAAACTAATGACGCCATAAAGGGCCAGATCCTCTGTGGATGTAAACTGGCATAATTCCATGGACTTCAAAATCTGTGCTCCCTATATGCAAAAATGGAAAGACATTTCCTAAGAGCAAAAACTCCCCTCACCCCCTTGCAGGCGAATACCTGAAAAAAATAGTAGGCTTGCACTTAAAAATTAGGCTAAGTACATGGCTTCACAAGGGATGTGCTGCTAATGCACTATTTGTACTCCCAACTGACTGGCTGCCAGCATTGTAATGATTTGCAGTAACACTGTATTCGGGGAGGTCTTGTACTTAGGGTGGGACTAAGGCCTGGTCTACAGATTATGCACTGGCATAACTATTTCAGTTAGGGCTCTGGTTTTTTATTAATATGTTTACACCACTATGTGTGGGCACAGTCAAACCAGTATAAAAGTTCTTTTAGCATTATAGCTTATTCCCCTTTCTGTATGGGAATAGCTATACTGGTATAAAACACCCTTATATTGATATGACTGTATCCATGCTAGGGAGGATTGTACTGCTTCAACTATACCGGGATAGGCAAAGCAGTATAACTAGTGCATGGACAATCCTAAGAATTAGCACTAATGGATACGGTTCTCAGTGGTTCATCTATTCACTGAGACACTCTGGACATGTCACTTAACTCATCTGTTCCTCAGGTTATCCATTTGTAGGAGAAGTATAATAATAGCTTCCAAGAGTGTTGAGTTTGATTAAGTAGCTGCTCAGTATGGAAGAACTTTGAGACCGTCCATGGAAAGGTGCTATAGAAGTGCAAAAGTATTATTGCTGCTAATATTTGTGCACTTTGGATTTAGTGAATGGACTGACCATGGTTAGTTTTTATTTCTTTTGCCTTCTGGTAACCAGATTCACTAATCCGCTTACAGGAAACTTAGCTTAACAAGAAATATGCCTACAGGAAATCTACCAGCCACTGCAGGTGTTCCTTGGTGGACTTGAAAAAGCTTCGGTTAAGGAATCTGGACCCAGGTGTCGCAGTATGTTGGGAAGCAGGGACAGAACGTCCATGGATAGATGTTCTCCCTTTTTGCCGTCTGGGAGAGGAACTGCTGATTTGTTTTTTCTCCACAGAGCTCAGGTACCAGAGATGATGGCAGTTCTTTTCCAGTGCATAAATAATGTATTGGCCGTATACATCTCCTGCTGGCAGCTGGCTGCAGCATGTCATGCTGAGGAATGCGAGAAGCAACAAACGAGCACTCCCTTGGCAGCCAGCAATGAAGAGGCAGTTCAGCTGCCCATAAAATGCCATCGGGTAAGTATGTCCCTCCGGTTACCAACAACAAATCTCACACAGAACGCCAGACATTGGAAAGGGAAGCAGTTGATGTTACTTTTCAGGATCATTTGTACCTTTGTCACTAGGCTGGTTTCCCTTGAGAGCAGTGAACGTTAATTATGTTGTTTTCTTAACAGACAACAGACGTTGAATTTCAAGTCTCTCAAGAAGAGTTTGGCCAAATACTGTCACTCTGGCATAAAGCCATGAGCAGCCTGAAACCTTGCTCAGTTAGATTTAATAGATTTTTTCAGAGCCCCCGGTAGCAGAATTCCCCCATGATTTCAATAAGAGTTGAAGGCATGGAGCTGCTGCAGAATCGGACCCTAAGGTGTTCCCAATGTTTTCTTCACACTCCATTGCTGGAAATACCTTCCTGAGGCTTGAACAAAGAATGCCTTTCTCCAGTAACACTCAATGCCCATATAGCACGCTCTTCCACCCTAGTCTCTTCCCCTGCACCAGCTTGGTAACAAAACTTGAAGGCAGAATTTTATAGCTGTGTTTTGGGCAGGTATTTCAAATGTGGGTGCCTAATGTGAGGCACCTAATTCCATATGTAGGCTCCTAAATAAAAGGCTCCTGATTTGAAGAGGTGCTATGCACCTGCTGCTCCAGAACGTGGCTCGGAATTCCCAAACCAAGATTAAAACTCCTGGCCCTAGTTATTAAAAAGCTCTCTCAGAACTCTACAAAACTCTATCACTTGCACATTACAATACACTGGCCGGGTCAGATGACATTTAAAATGATAATTACATGAGAAATATCACTTAAAGACGTATGTTAAAATTGCAGTAAGACCGTTTGTGGCTAGATTACATACCCTATTATACATGTTCATACAGTATTATTTTAGCATCTCCAATAATGCAGCCATTACTAACTTGGGGCAGCTGAAATGCTGTGTGATATCCTGGGGAAGGATGAAGTGAACACTTGTTGCAAGTCTTTGTACTTCATTAGTCTCTAGTCAAGTAACTTGCATGGTTCCTTGCACGACTGCATGAGAGAGTGGCAAGCTGTAGTGGTCTGCAACAGTTATATGAACATCGTAGGCACAGACAGTGCCTGGAGATAATGTAGGTTAAGTAGATTGTCAGGAAATCTGCTGACATTTACAGCCAAGTATACTGTGTGCTTCCTCTCAGCACTTACCAGGTGCTGCTAGCATTGGAGCCAGTGTAAGTGCATCCTGGTGATATTATCTGCATGAAATTTGCATTAAAAATTAGAAATAAAATACAGCCCCAACACTTGTTGCACATCTGCTCCCAACCCTGCAATGGTGTCTGTGCACCGGCCTCAAGTTATTCTTATTTCTAGCAGGAATAATTTTCACTGAGGGGACTGTATGCAGCCTCTCTACTAGTCAAAATGTGGGTGCACACTAAGGGCTAGATTCATGCTTGTGCCAATATTAGGGCCAACACAGAGAAAAGGCAACTGCCACCTCCCCTATCTCAATGTTGCCTGTGTTCTTCTCCCTTCTGTTCTTTTCTCTTAAATTTGCATCTTAAAGCAGCTATTTTCCCAATAAAATGCTCATCCAGTGAGGCAGCAGACTCTTTACTCAGTGGAATTGTTATGTGGTTTAAACGTATGCTTGTCCCAAAATTGAAATTTGGGGTAGCCTGATTCTCCCCTTATCTAGTAATTTACACCAGTGAAAAGTGCTGTAAAATGCTACCAAAGCAGGATGATGGAGGGGAATACTCTTCCCCCTTCACTGATTGATTGGTTTGGAGGGCTGGCATGGGTGAAAGTTTTCGGAGTCCACTCAGCTGGAGTTACAGGCTTAAGGTGTAAGAGGTTTGGAATGAGGTTTTTATCCTTTTCAGTTGTGCTCGATTGGTAAAGTGTAGCTGGCAAGTAACACTCTCAAGGTTTGGCTGCCATCTGCTGGTGAATTCCAGGAGCATGAAATGCAGGCACTCAAAAATGAAAACTCCTAGTAGAAATTCGAAAGAACACTAACATTTTTTCCCTCCCATGTCATTTATTGTTCTGTTGACAGAAACTAGCCCTGCCATGTTATCACATTTGTGCCCCCAGACTGCAATGTTAAGCCTACAGAGTTTGGAGTGTTATAGTCTTCTTGCCAGTGAAGAGATCATCATTTTCTCTGTTAGAACGCCTGGTGTGTAACCTATAAAAACCAGACTTCCACCTGTGGAAGGTTCGAACTGGGTGACCTTTCTAGCCATGTTCTTATGTGGCCCCCAGCACTGTAGTCTCCCAAGTGCTTACGGTGAAAGTGGTACTGTGGGTGTTTCCTGAGGAAGGAAGCGCAGGGAAGTTGTGATTAACAACACAGCCTTGGCTCGTGCCCCCCAGTTCTGCATCTAGGTATCCCCCTCCTCCCATGTGGAACACGAGCTCATTTGCCTCTGGGGCACCACTGTCCCTTGCCTGGGGTTATTTTATTTCTTCCACTGGGTCCCTGAGAATGCAATCAGCATTTTGCTTGTTCCTTCTTTCTCACAAAAAGGGCCCCATTCTCAAATTCCAGACAATTTCTTCTGTCATCTTTATATCTGAAAAGCCAGTTAAAACAGAAATTGAAATTCATCAGTAAAACAAAGCAACCCAGGGAGCCATGAGCCATCATCAGCTTGGCATGTCTTCAGAGCCAGCTCCTCAGCTGTCAACAGAGAACCTGCGGAGGACCTCTTAGTAGAGCCTGGAAACCGCTTTCAGTGTCATGTTGACAAATCACTGAGCCGAGATGTTCTGTAGGTCCTGCCAGGGTGTAGCACAGGGGTGGGCAAGCTATGGCCCACAGGCTGGATCTGGCCTGCGAGCTGTTTTAAGCTGGCCTGCGAGCTCCCCGCTGGGGAGTGGGGTCTGGGGCTTGCCCTGCTCTGGCGCTCCAGCCGGGGTGCCGGGTTGGGGACCGCTCCAGCCGGGGCTCTGGGTTGCCGCAGCATGGCCCCGCTCTGTGGTGCCGGGTCGGGGGCCGCACCATGCAGCTCCCAGAATCAGCCATGTGGCCCCACTCCGGTGCTCTAGCAGGGTCGGGGGCCACTCCACGTGTAGGAGCCGGAGAAGGGACATGCCACTGCTTCCGGGAGCAGCTTGAGGTAAGCGCTGCTCGGAGCCTGCACCCCTGAGCCTCTCCCCACTCTCCAACCCCCTGCCCCAGCCCTGATCCCCATCCCGCTCTCCAAACCCCTTGATCCCAGCACGGAGCACTGTCCTGCATCCCAAACCTCTCATCCCCAATCCCACCCCAGATCCCACACCCCTGGCTGGAGCCTGCACCCCTTCCCGCACCCCAACCTCCTGCCCCAGCCCTGATCCCTCACCTGTCCTCCGAACCCCTTGGTCCCAGCCTGGAGCACCCTCTTACACCCCAAACTCCTCATCCCCAGCCCCACCCCAGAGCCCGCACCCCCAGCCGGAATTTGCAACCCCTGCCCCAGCCCTGATCCCTCACCTGTCCTCTGAACCCCTTGGTCCCAGCCTGGAGCACCCTCCTACACCCCAAACTCCTCATCCCCAGCCCGCACCCCCAATCAGAGCCCGCATCCCCTCCTGCACCACAACCCCAATTTTGTGAGCATTCATGGCCCACCATACAATTTCTATTCCCGGATGTGGCCCTCAGGCTAAAAAGTTTTCCCACCCCTGAGATAGCACATTCCATCTATGGACAGAGCATTTGTCTTTTACTGCTGCAGAAAATAACAGCAGGGAAAGCAGTAACTACTGTGCAGGCGATCATCAGACAGACTTGCAAAGGTTCCTGTGAGAGAGAGCCCTGAAATGCCCACACCCCAGAGAAGTCTGAGTAAAGATTTCGCTTCTATTCCTTCTTGCCCTTTTCTCTGTATTTAAATGCTCCCTGTGTGAGAGGCAAGACTGAACTGAGCTGTCCCAGCATTTTCCATCTTGCTGCTTCTGTCTGTCCGGTTTCTCACTTCTCCTGTCCCATTTGGGTTTAATTCACTTACCTGCTTCTGGCAGGGGTTATCTTAAATAGAGGGCAGAGCTGGGCCTTTATATTCAGCTCTGGCTGACTACTAACAGTGCAAAATTTGGGTTAGCTCTGGAGAACTGAGGAGCAGGTTATACACTATACCTGTAAACTGGACTCATTTGATACAAAATCAATGAAAGATAATGTCAGTTTTTATAGCCACTTTTCATAGCAGACTCACACTCTAAAGCAGCTTTATACTGTTATATTTTGACTGGACAAAACATTTTATCTTTTTGCAAATATTCCCTGAATATGCAGGTCTGTTTGTTTTTTCACCCTCACTTGTGCTTTGTAGACATCTTTTATAATGAACTTTGTCACAAACACAATTACACCTAAAAATCTGGACAAGGGATTATTTACCACACTGTCTTCCCCATTGCTATAAAGCAGTCTGACAGCTCTACTCCAACCACTTTGTAACACCCTTTGGAGACAGAAAAATGGCTCACTTACTATGAATGTATTTATAAAAGGGTCAGTGTATTCACTATATGAAGGAAGAAATAATGTTTTAAGAGAGACCCTGTGCTAAGCACAAGTGAGATTTCTTGCCACTTAATGGAAAAACTGACCATTTCTCCAGGCATATTAGGTTGTGGTTGCACTGGATTTCCAATTATTCAAAACAGAGCCAAGACACTGCATACCAATAAAATTACTTAGGATAACACAATTTACTTTCTGGCAGAAGTAGAATATTGAGTAGATTGTTACAAAGAAATACTGGGGTAGGGGAGAGAGCATATTTGTTTTAACTAATCCATTTGCATTTCTTGATCCCAAATTATTTTGATTAATTTATGGTATATCTTAGCTCCAGAAAAACAATAATCCAAAAGTACTCAGTAACAATTTTAAATAATGAAAAGTTAAAAGCAGTGACAGAATGATGCAGCAGTTAAAGTGCAGTTCCACTACACAAGCCAAGTGTTTTTATTTTAAAAGCAACTTCTTAACCAACATCTCTCCCTGTGTCTATTCAGAGTCA